CAACTTTCCAGTCTACACATATCTATTGATAAGAACAGCTGTTTAGACTCCTATTATTGTTGCACTGCATGTACAGTGTGTGTGTGTGTGTGTGTGTGTCTCAACACTAAGTTGCCACATCACTGGGAGGGTCTCAACAAGTGCTGTGCTCCCACTGAAATGACCTCCCATTTTAGGGGAAGATGTTGCAAAAGCACTGGACACACACACACACACACGCACACACACACACACACACACACACACACACACACACACACACACACGAACTCAGAAAGACAGAAATGTCGCAAAACTAACTGATCCTGATCAATTTCCTCTTCCTGTGCTCACTAGAACAGATGCAGAGATATTTAAATGGAAGACAAACTGACACACAGAAAACAAGTTTAACGAGCTCTGAGGAACATTTAGTAAAATTCTGCATCAGGACACAGATAGAAAAAGACAATTAAAGGATATGAGTGAAAGATGTTCCACGTTCCCAAAAAATACATCAACAGTGTGACAGCAACACAGGGCGGTGAAGAGACCATCTGTTTTACTGTAACTACAATCCATGAATTAGAACAGAACTTCAGAATAACTTCAGGGAGGGACTTGTGGTCCAGATGACTGATGCACAACTGCTTCACCTACGGCTGTTGTGTCATAAAAGTTAGGAATCAGACAACTACGTGCAAAAATGACAACAGGCTTGAGTTCAACTACTGTAACTGATAATAGCTATTCATGATGGATGTCTCACAGTCGACTGTGTCTTTAAACTTTCACAGAATAAACGACGGATGGCATTTCTTTGGGGGGAGAAGAAGTGTGCATTTTATTAGAGACGTTTGGTCCAGTTTTAAGATATTGAAACTATGATGAGTCTGATGTGTCATGTGTCCCTTCTGCAACAATAATAATGTTTGTTTTTTAATATTAAAAAAGATTTTCTTCTTCCAAAGAGGATGGTACGCAGCCTTTTGGAATAAATCCTCCATTTGTGGCTGGAGTTCCCCTCTTAACACCACACATGAAAGGGGTCAGTTTCAGCATCTGTGACACTGTTCATCTGCTCATGTTTGGGTGTTCATTCTCACTTTCCCTGAAGTGTTGTCTCACGGTACCTATTTATGATAACCGCCCGCTCACTGTGTACAGAAACAATTGCACTGTTACTAGAAGAGCTGAATCATGTTCTGTAACTTTTTCTCATGTCTCTTTTTTCCTCTTTCTTCTCTGACTCTTTACAAGAAGAGTCATGGCCACCTGCTGATTGGTTAACACATGGCGACGTGGGCTGCCAAGCTGGTGGTCGAGAGTGAGGGAGGGCTTTCAAATGCTACAGAAACTCATGACTGAAAAGAGGAAATGGCAGATACATAACTTCCTCTATTGACAGAGATCGAGTGGGGGCAAGACTCAACTGCAGCAGCAGAAAACTGGATTACGGACACCACGTAGTCACCCCTGTGCCATTGCTGCCTCAATGTGGAGAAACAACTGCCATGTATGGTGAAAACACAGTGTGTATCCGAAGGTCAAAGGTTACCGTCATAATTTATGTGCATTTTTTAATAAAAGAGGACTTCCAGGCAAATAATCTATAAAATAAGCTAGTGAATTAATTGCAAATAAACAAACCATCCAATTAAACATATATTTCTTGTGTTGGATGAGTGCAGACATGCAATTCTTCCTTGTATTTTGCATAAATACAAATCAAAGCAAAAATGAGGAATCAAGACATTTTCAGGGAATAAAAGATATTGCAGGGGGACAAAGTAGAGGTGAGACACCTTCAGATGTTAGGGGCGAAGAAAGAAACCTTTACTTCTTTCAACTCCCAGTCTCCCTCCCCCACTCTCTGTCTTCCTCCCCACCTTCCTCCCACTCAGTCAGTTTGCATGAAACTGAAAGACCCATGTCTGAAAAGGGGGAATTTATGTGGGCTCACATGGCCCAATTAAAAGCATTTCCTGGAACTGTGTGCATGTATCTATATGTGCTTCTATATGCATGTTATGCATGTCTTGGAGTGTGTGTATGTGTCTTCCTCGCCTGACAGACCACTCAATGTCACTTCCCCCTTCCAGCTAGGTCACGGACACATGGTAGTCACACTCCAGCAAAGCCACGGTCACATGATTTGCTGACTTGCCCACCTCACACGCACACTTCGACTTGAATTAAGTTTGTGTCAATAGCTATTTGTAAAGTTGCTTTGATAATAATAATAATAATAATCTTTCATGCCCAAATATCATCTAGAGAAAGGACTGTACACCAATACTGCATCAATGAAAAGCTGTAAATTTGTGGTAAAGAATTTTAGCAGAAAAAACATTTTCATTTTCTTTTTTCTTCTAGCGATGATGAACAATAATCAAGAATGCAGATCTATGGTTGTTTTAGATTGGTGTTTAATTAATATATCATTATCAAATTAATCTGCATGCTGGAATGAGCTGAAAACACGTGACTGGAGATGCAAGTGAATTTTGATTTTGAAATTTAATTTCGTTAAATAATATAAGCACATTCACACTGACGAATTAAATTATCAAGATATTCCTTTAGAGCCATACAGTATGTGTATGACTTGTATTACAAACTACATTAAGTTGATAATTTCAAGAAAGGAACATCAGAAATGTTTTGTTTATGAGGTCCAGTTTTGACTCGTAACACAGGGAAACATGTCTTTTTTGAACTGTGGGTTTCTTTGGCTGAACATTACAATTAAACTTTCCTAAAAAGCATGAAATTATGTGTGTGGTGAGAAAAGCCACAGTAATATTCTTTATTCATTATTCAGTGAGGGAACGCAAACCAACTGCTACTCTCTGTGACTTCTGAGGCTTTAGTGTGCCCTAATAAAGTACATTATTGATTATAGCAATCAGAAATTGCACTCAGGTTTAATAACAACTGTAATACAGTAGATTTACAAATTCACATTTTTCCAGTTGTATTTAGGTTTAAATTGTCTAGCATCAAGTTAGGCTGAAGCTCAATAAACTGTTAGTACAGGAGGAATGTGTAAATTAGCCTACTGCTATACCACTGTCAATAAGGCTTTAAAGCTTCTCAAAAGCAGCGCTGTTTTGTGCTTATTGTCGAACATAATACAAACCTATAAATAGCGACAAGCCATTTTAAGCACAGAGTTTATTTATGGTGTCATTCCTGAGCCATCTTTAAAAGCTGATTGCAGTACTAGAGCGTCTGCAGCCAATGAACCACAGAGGACTTAACTTCCAGGTTGCCTATAAAATATTTAACTGCTTGACCACTTTATTCAGCTCATAGTTTTTTTCCCCCCTAAGGACAGAGAATGTTTTTTGAAAAGGTCTACCTCTATAACAAAACCCCTCACCATTCTTTCCAACCATCAGTGCTTATTGAAGTTTGTCCCCCATGATATCATTCATGTTTGTAGTGTAAACTGTGTCAGAGGAGCAGAAAAATATCTGACATGTTCAGGAAAACATATACAGAATTGGCTATTCTGGATGATTTGTGGCAAGGACATTAGTCCTATTCTACGTACATCTACATGTAATAATTCATCTGTATTACTCCGACGTGGGGTGGGCTGAGCCTGGTCAATGGATCTCAGTCCGTTTTATTTAGGAACTGACTGAACTTGTTTCATTCATCACAGTGTGTCTATACAGCTGTGTAAGTTTGCTGTTAATGCAGAAATCTGTACTGTTTTATTGAACTTTTTAAATTTGCCCGATTATAAACTCAAAAAAAAAAAAAAAAAAGACAGTGGGTGAATTAAAAAGGATCTTAACCAGGAAAGAAACAATCTAATGGAAATTGTGATTGTGTTTTTAACTATACCATGGTATCATTCTTATTTATTGAATCTCCCTCAAATTTTACTGTGACTGTACACTGAACTACATGGTAACTGTGTTGTTGATGCTGCTGTCTCGGCCAGGTCTCTATTGAAAATGAGACTGGAATCTCACTGGGACCTTAACTGCTTAAAGTAAACAAAATCTGTGGTAGAGTAGGTTAATAAAAACATTTGCAGGGTTTGTTGCATCCGGTTAAAAAAACAATGACATCTGACTTCATCACTTCAATAAATAACATGATTGTGTTCACATAACCTGGAAGCTCTGTGGCATTTTTAGTGCAAAACTACATTAAAAGGGTGAAACAACTTCACAGACTTGATGCTCTGTTATCATGGCTGCAGTTTGTTGATTTCTGATTCATATCTATGCCTCTAAAAGGTGCTAATTAAAATAAATGTAACATATGGCTTTATGCAGATATATTCAGCTGAGGACGAGTGAGTAGGAAAAATGAATTCCAAAAGAATCAGAATTTGACACCAATCACAGCAATATGTGTCACATCGTGTTTGTTGCAACCAACACTGCTATTTTGGCATTTTAAAGGTGTCAGTATGCTTCCAGTGTTTATCAGACTCTTGTAGAGCTTCTGAAATGAGATTAAAAGTCCTGTGACCAAGAATTTCTGTAGCTTTCCATCACTGACAATCACCACTACATGCTGTGAATATATATTTAAATATGTGCATACTTATTCTGTGTTAAATGCTTCAGTGTACTTCATCAGAAGTGCTTGTCAATAAGGTCAAAACCTTTTCATTTGGTTTTAAACTATATTTCCATTACTTTTCATATTTATAACTGAGTGCACTATGATGAATAGCTTCTAGGAGCAAAACTGTGCACTATCATCCAAATTTTGAATCACGTATCTAGTCTCAGCACTCTATGACAACCAGTTTGTCACCCCACCTTTGAGCAAGAGTTAACCCAGTTTTTACCAAGTTAGTTTGAAGCGTACTGAATCCTTAAAGTTAGGATAATCCTTGTCCCACTGTATGTGTATGAGCCAAAATGTTTTGAGGAAATAGGGTGTGTGGCAAAATGTCTGCAAGCATAAATAAAAGATTGTTGGAAAGTCTGAGGGACCGATGGTGAGGTTTAAGATGTGATATATAATATATGTATTAAGCTTCCTACCTCCAGTCCATAAACCCAGGAGAAGATGGGTGCCTGCGTTCTGTCTATCTTGCTCGTCCTTCCCGCTTTGGTTATAGTTCAGCAGAGGTCAAAAACCTGATGGGAAAGGCAAAGAAGTATTAAAGAGTCAGTCTGTTATGAGTATTCCTCATCAAAAGGGGTGATGGATAGCTACCAAGTGTGAACAGTGATAAACTAATATAAAGAAAATATAAAATGCCGACAAACTGAGACATGTGTTTTTTCTTTTTGTAAAACAGCTTAGAGCTTGTGGACAAACACACACATCCCACAGACTATCATATGATGCATCAGATGCAATATGGAGTGGACTCTGGGGTTCTCATAAAAGACAGAAACCAACTGCTTCCTACTTTGACTTCTTCAGAAAAGAAGTTATACAACAGTCAAAGCTGGGAAAGCCCACACCAACACACACACACACACACACATATACCCATTTAAACGCAGACCTCTTGAGATGGCCATGATTACCAACACACTGGTGATGGTATGTGAATTTCTATGGATCTCTAAGAAATATTCAAAAGATGCTGGAAAGTGACAAAGTATTCGTGTGTCTGTGTAAAAGTGAAGAGTCAGACTAAACATACAATAATGAGATGTCAGAGAAAAGGGAAAAGGGATATCAGCTACAACAGGGAGGCTTGTAGATTGCAGAGCATGATGGAGGTCATGTCAAGACAGCAGGAACAGGAGATTAAGCACAAATATCTAATTATGTTGCAGACAAACCCAGAGCAAACAGCAAACTGGCATTAGGAATTTATTTCAAGCCCCTGATGGCTCCTACATGTGTGAGGAACAATCCCAGTATGAGAGAGCATTAGAAATGTCCACTCACATGACGGTGGTCTGTAGCCCTGGCACACAGGGGATAAAACAATAAAAACTATTCACACTTCTGCAAACCTTTCTTCCCTTCAGTCACAAGCTTGCCCACAATCAGAGGCAGTAGACAATGTGTCAGCCTCCCACTCGAGACTCAGAGCCCAAAAGGCCAGCTGGGAAACAAAAAAGCTTTGATAACACCTAAGCCTAGAGGGCATAAGACATTATCTACCTGCATGGATGCCTGAAGATTTAACCAACCAAGCTGTGCCCATGACAGGGAAACCAAGCCCAAGCCAGTTGAGCTTGTTAGGCCGGTCTGTCACAGGGGCGAGTCAGGAGAGCAACACTTCCACACACGCACAAAAGCCCACTGGCATGACAGCCCTCCCCACCCATGAGGTTACCAAGCCTTAGCCTAACATTACAGCCCAGCACATCCTACTCTAAGACAAGACGGTGACAGGGTTCAAATAAAATAATGGGTGCGCCACGAGAATGATGGTGATGATAATTATGATTAGCAAAACAATGAAGGGCGATCGTTAAGGTGCAAATGGTTAAATGCAGCACATCCAGTGCGCTCCGTGAACCATGAGCAGCGGACAGGAAGGTGATGTGCGTGAGAGCAGGTTGGGTTTTAGGTGTCAGCCGGTGTTCTTGGCTATAATTAGCAGCCGAGTATTCAGAAACCCGGCGACCCCGCTGTCTCTCTCTCTCTTACCTGGCCGCGGCGGCTCACAGACGCACGTATCAAACAGTGCCATCAGCGCCTGCTCCAAAACAGCGCAGCCTAGCTTTCGTTCTGTGCACGTAAAAGCAATTTCCGAAACGCACTGTGGTTGTGAAATAACGGGGAATAAATGTCGACGGAAGTTACCGAACACCCATGACGTGGATAGTCCTCCCGTGACCCCGATCACAACACTTGAGGAAGACTGCAGATTCAGGCAAGCCGGTGCTGTCATGGCAGACATGTCACTTAAACCACATTTAACTTATTGGCGTGTTACAGTTTTCAGTCATTTCGACAGAAGTCAGGTGAAGCAGTTACCTGGGTGCCGGTGTGTCACCTGTCCTGACTCGCCGCCTCCCACCTGACCGGCCTCTGCACTTCCTGGATTATTCCGTCCCACCCTGGCGACTTCTTCTACTTCTTATTCTCTTTTTTTTTTTAAACCTCCCGGCCCTTGTTTTTGCTTCTCCACCGGGGTCACGGCTCCTGTCGTCTTCAGTTCGCCACCAGGGAGGCTTTATTCTTCTCTAAACCGTGCGTTGGCGTTTTTCTTGTTGGTCCCCTCTTAGCAGACCGACGGCTCTCTGGGCTGCTCTGACCCCCTGTCTGCTGCCTCTGCTGGCCCACTCCGACTCCCTGCTCCTCCTTTCTGAGAACCAGGAAGCAGTTTGCCCTACTTACACCCAGACGCGGATTGGCTCTGGCAGGGCTGGAGTAGAGACCGCCGAGGTGGGCAGGGCACAGGGGAGGGAGGGCTGGAGGGAGCTTGAGGACGGAGGGGGTCCGGCTGTGGTGTGATAGGCCAGCAGAGATGTCTGTCGCAGTGTAGGTAGCGGAGGGAGGAGGTAGCGGAGGGAGGAGGTAGGTGGGCAAGTTTGGAGACCCCTGTGCCGCCTCCTCCTTTTTCGCCTGTGCATCGCTGCGCAAAGATGTGAAGAGTTACCTACAGCGAGCAGCGAAAGCGGATGGAAGTATATCTGCTTATTACTTACCTGAAAGCATTTTCAATGGACGTAGACCTAGCCCCCCTCCCCTCCCCTTCCTCCCGATTTAGCGATGGCTATTCCCTCAAAAGTTATCCAGAGGTGACCACGGATGGAGAGATGGGACTCTCCACACAACAGGTGCCTGGACTGAGGCTGTCAGATGATTCAAGTTAAACGGAACCTATTATGATAATTGAAACTCTTAGAGGATGTGTCACATCCAGTGTGAGGGCAGAAAAGGGCAACAGTAGGGACTTTCTATAATGACTTTTTGCTAATAAGTTAAAAGACAAACACAAGGGCTGCATGAGCACACAGAGCAATACTCCGTATAAGCATTTTTTCCAGAGATAAAAAAGAGGTAGGCTATATTTTTTGAAGACAAGCACACACACTAAACAGAAGCCTCATTTCACTGTGAAAATGTCAACTCTGAATACTATATGCATCCTGTTTGAAGTGGTTATGGGGATGGGAATCACCTCGCTCTCTCAAAGTTTGACTCTCTTCCTTGTCTACTGTAGCTCCTGGAGTGTGTGCTGGTGGGTTTTGAAGTGAGGGTGCAGGAAGTCTATATATAATTTTGTGGTGAGCTCAGCCAGCCCACCCTTTACCACCCCCCAAACCTTAAATCACTGCTTGTTCTGTGGTTGTCGCACAAGACAAAGACTACATGTGCTCCACATGTTCCATAAATGCAACTTAACTTCCCATGTGCATCTTTGTTCAACCAGTGGTTCTCAACCTGGGAGTCGGGGTCATAAGCTAAATATGAGGGGTCCAATGTTGCCGCTACACAAATCATGCATACTTTTTTTTTATCTTTCTCTTCTCTTTGCTTCTTTTTTTTAAAATCAGTAGTGAAGGAAGTATTCAGGTCATTTATTTAGTTAAAGGTACAACAAAACACTATTACACAAGTACTAGTATACTACAATATAAAAATAATGTCATGCAGACATAAAAGTTCTGAATTTAAAAATCTTACATACTTAAAAGTTACAATGTACCATCAGCAAAATGTACTTAAAGTACTGATTATGCATTACACTTACTGGACCATTATTACTAATGCAATAAGCAGTAAGCATCTACTCAATGTTGAAATGGGCTGAGGTCAAGCTAATTCTAACTATTATACAAACTGAGCGTTTATAACAACTGTCATGCACATTTTCTGTGTAAAATCTTAATCTAAATTGGCTAAGGATAACTGCTGCATACATGTAGAGGAGCAAAAGGTACAGTGTTTCCTCTGAAAGAGAAAAACTTAAGTACAAGTACCTCAAAAGTGTACTTAAGAAGAGTACTTAGTTATATTGTTTTTATCATGAAACTCTGGATACTCTTACCTCTCTGGGCCTTTAAACATTATTCAAATGAGTCTGAGAAGGCAACATATGCAACCTGTGACAAGGAGCATGAATAGACACGGCACTGTTTTAAACCAAGATGAAACACAACAACTTACAGAGACTTTTCAGTCTCTTTGTGGATGAATGAACTGAGGATTATACTGTACTGATCTGATATTTAAAGGACAAATTCACCCCCACTGTTGTAATGTAACATGACAGTAACGAGGAATAAAATACTCTGTTCAAACATCCAGACTCTCCATTGGTCTGAGCCAGAATGACAGGCAGCAATTACAGCCTTGTTTATCACCCCACCTCTATTCATGGCTGGTAATCCAGCCTGGTCTGCCATCATTAACCTTTTCTACACTGTGTCCTTGATCCACAGTGGCCTCCCCTCTAAACATTAAAAATTTAAATGGGTCTCTTATTCTCTTACGGTAAAAATACTGTACATACTTCAGCATATAATTTGTGCTCCTTTTTCTATTGTGTTGATCTGATTATTAAAATGTCGCCATCGCCATCTAGTGGTCACTGTGCAGCCAGCATGCCTGGATGTCTGAAGGGTGTCTGCTCAACCGAGGCCTCCACTGCTACTCTATTTCTGTACTGTGAAAGTGTGGAAACATGGGTAAAAAAAAAGCATCATGTTTACATCTATGTGCTTCTCTTCTTTAGCTTTATAACTGCCTTTCAATTAAAATGTCAGTACAAGTGCTGAACAGCATATCTGAAAACTCAAATATTTACATCAACAAGTTACTCATCCTCTTACTGACACATTTATGCTCTTTGTGTGACCCAGCAGGGGTTATTCAAAAAGGGTGGAAATAATCACAAGTGTAAATCCAATATGTTAATGCCTCTTAACATAAAGAGGTGGGAAAAAAAATCTCTTATTGCTGCCTATGTGGGCAGAAGGGCTGTTCAAAACCTCTTGGACATTAATGAGAGGGGAGAGATGGAAAAAATGCACATGCATTAAGGAGACTGAAAGTTAACGAGAGGGAAGGAGAAGCGGGTGGATCAGTGAGACTGTAATTTACCCTCACAGAGGCAGATATTCATTTAGTTCCAGTCAAGAGCGGCAGAGATTTAAGTGCCTCCACATTCACAAGCTTAACCTTGGATCTGAGTGTGTCTGCCCTCTGCTGAGAGGTACAGGATTAGGGTTGGGGATCCAGGAGCTGCAGAAGTAGCAGAACAAGGACTGAGGGGGCAGAGGCAGAGCAAATAGTTCTCATCCATTCACACAAGAAGTTCTTTTACCAGATGCTCCAGTGCTGAAGTTGAATCACACAATCCTTCAAGTCCCAAATCCTCAGAGGTCATGTATGAATCCAGATCTGAGTCACCAGGGTCTGAGTCGAGTCTCAAGCGGCACACAGTGTCCTGGTAATCCATAAAAAAATGCAAATTAAAGGATCATTTCACTCAAATTATATAAACAACAAATTGTGGCGATGAAACTAATCAAAAATCAATATTTGTTACAATGTCAGTACTTGCAATTACTGTTATAAACACACACACTACAGCACACACAATTGCAAATGAACTAATGCCTCAGAACACTCAACAAGATGAATTCTAAATCTGCTTTATTCTTTCATCCAGATATACACCATCATCATCTTCATCGCCATCATGGCTGTTAAGCATATCATCATCACAATACTAATTGATCTCTGCCACACTCTAGATCATCATTTTGACAGTATTGTTAGCTATTTTTTCTGTTCAAAAGCTAAAGCTAAGATAAATAAAAAATAAAACATTTGGTCCTTTAAATATACTGTATATATTCTAGGCAACATGGTATCGGAGGATAAGACAAACGCCTTGTTGCTATACACAGAAACATCAAACATCACTGGAAAACGGTGCTGAAACAGTGTCAAACAGGGCGACAGAAGGAGGAGACTGCCAAACTGAGCATGAGGCCGATAGCAGCAGAGAGCAAAGTGTTGGGCAAACCGAGAGAAAGCGAGTCTGTGAGCGTCAAAGAAACAGTTAGCGACCAGAGCTGTGAAATCAGATGAAAGGCTGTGAGACAGACACAAGATGAAAGACAAAGAGGCAGAGGAGTGACGAAGCATACAACAGACCCACAGAGAGGCACGTATTTACAGTAGCCGGTTGGAACAAAACCAAAAGAGCCACAGCGCAGAGCAGAGCAGTATTGTGTATCAAACAAAGAAAAAACATAGTTTACAGAAGTTGTCAAAGTGAACATGTACTGTAGGTTTAAAAATTTTGCCCTGTTCAAAAACTAAACACCACACACCTGGGACAACAAAACTACCAGTGGACTGCTCCTAATTATTCAAACTCAAATGAGTATCAACTTTACAGTGATTTTTAAAGGCTATATCTGTATAATCATTATTGTTCTGATGAGAAAATATTACACTTTGGTGAAGAATGGGAGGCAAGAGGGAGGTGGAGCTGGAAACCTGGAAGTGCCTGCTCTGTTGTCTGCATTTTGACACCACAGCAGACTTTCTTCCCAACAGCAGAAACATTATTTTCTCACATTTATTAATGTTGTCGAGGTCATTTCCTGTTAGAGAGTTTAAAATGTTTTACATGTATTGCTGTTTCCATTCACTTTTAACACATACTGATTTTTTTTTCTTGCTTTCATCAGTTTTATTGTGTATACTGCAGCATATTTCCACTTCAGCTCCCCTGCTTGCTCCAACAATCACTAACACACATATGTCTGTATACATTTGGATGTTTTGTTGACTCTACCTCAGCCTGCATCACTCAACAGACTCATAAAGTCTTTTTGCTTGACTGATGGCTTGGTTGAGTGTCACATTAACACCTGATGCTCTAAGACAATCACATCTAGAGTGAATGCAAACGAGATGCCCACATGATGTCACTGTATGTCTGGTGCCAACTCTGACACAACTCTGTATATCCATGGCTCCGATCATCAGCACCGGCCACAATGCAAAGTTTTTCCTCTTCCTTCTCACATGTTGGCAGGTAGTTTGTGTCTTAGTCCTTCCGAGTCTGTTCTGGTGGCTGCTGGCAGAGGGTCCTTTTCCCCATCCTTAGGGGTGGTGGTGTTAACAGGGGTGGCTGCATGTGCTGACTGAGAGGGTGAAGCGGTGGGTGCCTGAGAGGGCTGGACAGGGCCGGAGGGTTTATTGAGTTTTGAGGGATGGGCACAGGTAGCTGTAGTGGTTGCCATTTGTTTTGGGGGTTGAGAAGAAGCAGATGGGATACTTGGAGAGGTGGTGGGGTTTGCGTATAAAGTTGTCAAGGATGAGGCTGTCAGTGGGGTTGGTTTGGTGGAGTGACTGAAGCCCGAAGTGGTGCTTGGAGTAAGAACAGGAGTGGTTTGCTTTACAGGATGAACTGAGAATGTTACTTTAGTTGAGGAACTAGTGGTACTGGGTGTTGGAGTCTGAGTTGGTGTTAGAGGTGAGGCCTGTTTTTGGATCTGGCTTGTGGCAGAGCCCCTGGCTGAGCTTGAGACTGAAGGCTGGAGACAAGGGGTGGTACTCTGGGATTTACTGAGAGAGGGAACAGGTGTAACAGGGATGACAGAGGCGGGAGGTGTAGGCGTGAAGGTCTGGGTAGGAGTGACAGGTGTGAGGGTCTGTGTAGGTGTTTGGGAGGTAGAAGAAGTGCGGGTGCGGGTTGTCTGGGTGGGAGTCGGTATTGGAGACGCAATTAGAGTTGGTGTAGGACTGGGGCCAGACAACGAAGAAGCACATGGAGGTGTACTGGGCACCTTGGCCCTCAGGTTCTGGGGGTGTGGTGGGGAAGAGGTGACCAAGGAGGAGGGAGGGGGAGAAGAAGCGGTAAGAGATGACTTGGGCCCGTAAGTTTGAGGTAGGTGAACAGGTGTAGAAACAGAGGATGGAGGTGGTGTGGAGGAGGGAGAGGGAGAAGATGAGCGAGTAGAAGGTGTCGGGCTTGGGAGGAGGAGAGGAGGAGCGGGATGGAGGCATTGGGATTGGTTTTGGGCGGGGTGTCTGGGAGAGGATTGGAGAAGGTGATGAGGGGGTCAGTGCAGGTGAAGGGGTGTCAGAGGAGAGTGGGATTTGCTTCGGAGGAGAGGAAGATGGTAAAGAAACTGCAGAAGGCATGTGTGGAGCTGTGGGTGTGGGTACCAAGGCAGCATGAGGTGCAGATTGTGTGTATGTGACAGTGTGTGCAGAGACAGCCTGTGCTATAGTGGGCTGAATGGGAAGTGTAGCTTGTGCACTAAATGGTATATTTGCCACCAGCTGTACTGGAGCATTAGAGGTAAGGATGCCTGCACTGCCTCCCCTAGCTAACTGCCCTGCCAGGAAAGGAGCCGCCAACAAATTGCCACCAGAGGCTTTCCGGTGGAGAGGCGGGTGAGGCTGCACTCCAGCCCATGAGCGGTGAGGCAGGGTGGGCTGTGAGGCCGACAGCAGCCTGGCCTCCTGCGTGAGTCTGCCCAGTGCTGGCAGACACTGAGAGCTGTTTCCTCCATGACGTAACAGAGCTTCTTTGGCCCCCTGCTGGTTCATCACAGACATGTTTCCATCTGATGGGGCACCAGAAGCAGCTTGGAGGTTGGTGGTTGGTCCCTTATGGAGGGGTGGAGTTGGTGGCCCACTTCCTGTTGGAGTTCCAAGTGATCCAGCAATCACTGAAGGATAATCAGCCTGGAGGCGGAGGCTGTAATGAAGAGTCCTTCCTTGTTGGACAGAAGTTGGAACAGAAGAGGCTGGAGTGGGTGGAGTCTTAGCAATAGGCGGCGATGTGACCCCACCAGGACCAGGAGGACCAATGGACGAGGGGGAGGCAGGAAATCCTCCTCTTGGGGACATACCACCCATCCCTCCCATTGTCATCATTCCGATGAGGGAGCTCACAGAGGGACGGAGTGGCTGCAAGACAGGAGCACGAGGAGGAGACAGTGGGAAAGTAGAGGAGGGAGAGGGGGAGACAAGAGGGGAGGGCAGGAAGAAAGCACTTGCAAGCGCATGTTGCTGCTGGAATTGCTGGAGCTGCTGCTGTTGTTGTTGCTGCTGGTGCATGAGGGTGATGGCTACATTGCTGGTGGCCGCTGCGGTCTGCAGGGGAGCATGAACCAGCGGCGCCCAGATGACCGGGCGTGGCCGAGGAGACACTGTGCCACTTCCTCCCATGACTCCGCCTCTTCCTGCAGCAGCTGCAGCAATGGCATCTTGCATGGCTGGCATGCTGTCATGTTTGACAATCTGCTGCACCAGCATGTTGTCACAGGAACCCAGACCACCTGCTGCCAAGCCTCCGCCTGCTCCAGAACCTCCTCCACCTCGGCCTCCACCACGACCTATACTGCCTCCCAGTGAACCACCCTGGGATGACTTCCGCAGGAGCATGGAGTTCTTCCTGCCTGTGGAGGAGAAAGAGGAGGCTTCTGATATATTAAGTGTGAAACAAAGTTCCAGAACTGGAAGGTGTGAAACTTTTTACGTTGTAGAAGGCAAAGTTTTCTACCAAACATACATACAACAGATCTTTAGCCTCAAGGTTTTTCCATTTTTCACCATGAACATTACTCATTGTTTTTGTATTTCAGTCTTTATTCCTCTCAGCTTGTTTTCAAAGATAAGTTTTAACCTTTCACTGGAGGACATGCCTGACAAAGCGCCTTGTTAAATTTAGCAGAATTGGGTGGATAATTGTGGTTGGCAAGGTCAGTGTGGAATTGAGCTGAATGGAAAATAGAATGTCAATGTACAGATAAGATGGTGAGAGAAATGTATGCAGTAGGTTTTCAGAAATCTGCAGGTTACCAATACGGTCCAATCGGTCAACAGCGACTGTTTCGAAGGCACGCCGCATCATCGGGTGTTCCTCCAGCACCTCGTTAAAGCTGTCCACACTGAGAGAGTACAGACGACAATATGTATCTGCACGAACACTGGCTGTCCTCCGGCCACGAGTCAGCAAACAGATCTCTGACAGTGGGAGGAGGAGAAAAGAGGAAAAGGAGAATTGGTTGTGATTAGCTGCGAGATAAATTTACCCTTCAGTATCAACTTGTACACAAACATGAACAACTATCACCTTAATCTTCTACTGTACCTTCCAGTACCCTTCCTGTACAACTTAAACTGCAGAATCAACTGTGTGTCCTCACCTCCAAAGTAAGACCCATCACTCAGTTTGGTTTCCTTGTTACCACGGGTCAGCACACCGACTCGTCCATGTTGGATGAAGTACATCTTTCGTCCAACTGTGCCCTCACGGATGATGAAGTCTGCAGGCTGAAACACTTCAAAGCGGAGCTTGGTCAGCACAGCGGTCACAAAGTTGGGATCAGCATTGGCAAACAGCGGCATGTTAGCCACCAGGCTACGGCAGTTAAAGCTGACAATCTCCTGGATGAAGAGAGAAGGAAAGTCAGAGATAGTTGCTGGAGGAAGGACCACATGTAACATATAGCATGCAGTTTATGTGTACAGATGTGTGGGTGTTTGTGAATGCATTACCTCTTTAAGTGGCTCACTGAGTTCTCCCAGGATGTTTTCTTCATCAAACATTTTCCCCTGAAAACGGTGCTCGTAGTACTCATGGATCTTTTGCCGTACATCTGCAGGAAGCTTATGGAACGACATGTACTGCTCCACCTGCTTGTACTGCAATATCACACACATAGACAGGTCAGGGATCTAGATGGAACAATACCTAAATTATGTTACCACCAATGGGACAGACACACAACATGTATATATCTCACAGATTTGTAAAAATGTTATTTAAGTTCTGACTCTCAGAATTCTGAGAGATAGACATTTGGACAGATTGATGGACAATAAAAAATAACTGTTAAATTACTTGAACAAATCAAATTTAATGGCTAAACTATAAACTGTAGCTATAAATGGAGAGATAGATGTAACAGACGGATGAACGTCATGTTTTACCTTTTCCTGGTACTGTCGCCGTGAGGAGTCCAGCGACTGGATGAGAGCAGTAGCGTGGCCAATGAACATGGCATAGCAGGTGGCACCTACGATCATACTGAGCATGGTGAGCCACACGTCAGTCATCCCTTCTGGAGCCTGGGCACCATAGCCAATACACAACATGTGGCTCATGGCTTTGAATAGAGCATAGGAGTACTGCACGCCCCATGTGTCGTTCTGTGAGTGGGAGAAAGGCAGAGAGGAAAACAAGGGTGACAGGAGGAGTAAGAGAAGTTTCAAGTGTTAATTACCAGGGCGCTGCAATATTGAACTGTTCTTAGTTTAGTCAGGTCACAGAAGCTTTTTCCCTATCCGAGGCACTCAGCTTCACCACTTCAAAAAACACCGCTGAGATCATAACATATAACAGCAGAGCAATTTAACTGTCAAAACCTGCTCTGTTTCAAAACAGAGTAGCTGCACAATATATAACATCACAGCCAGCAAAAGAGCACTCATTATACAATATTAAATAAATATTCTAAAGCACAGCATCTATTTGTGCCTGTGTGTGTGTGTGTGTGTGTGTGTGTGTGTGTACACTTTTGGTTTGGGTTGTGTGTAAGCCCAATTATCCTAAGATGTTAATGGTCCAGTGGATGCAGGGACTTTCTCCAGGGAAAATCCCAGCATCAGTCTGCTTAGCAACAGTCACCTAGGCAACCGGTGAGACATGAGTCAGCTATTCATACAGCTGTGTAAGTGCACGCATTCATCAGTGTCCACGCCCTTATGCCTACATGCATGTGACAAAATCTCCACCAGATCCTCAGCTCTTCGACCACGTGCGTGTGTTCACACCTCCACTTGAGATCTGCTGAGGATTTTAAATGGAGAATCTTTTTAATTTATCTAATGATGATAATCAATCTTGTTCCAACTGGACGTGTCCCTGCATGAGCCAGTTAACACAGATAAGGAGCCAACAGTGTCGGATCTAATAAACACTCATGCTCTGTACACACACTGATAACCCACAACGGGGCTTTTCAAAATCTGCGGTTTGCATTTCATCTGAAATGAATACTGTGCACACTGAGATTAGCGCTTTGTCTGTCTCATTCTAGTCAATCTGACCATCATGTCCCTTTTATTGTTCTCTAGACAATAAAATCACTCAGTGACACTTATTAAAAATAACTGACACACGCATACAAACAGCTGGTTAGAGACTCACCACCATCAGGTTCTTGGAAACCCAGCAGTCAGGTGGGAAGTCCTGCAGCATGGGGACCAGGAACTGGAGACAGCCATCCCAGTGGCACAGCAGCAGCATCATACCAATCAGATTTACAATCCTCACCATGGCACTAGCAAGGTCATAGGTCATATGGAAAATCTGAGGAG